GAGCTCAGCTGTGACTGTGGTCACCTGAAGGCTTTTGACAAAGGCTGGAAGGTCTTCCAAGAGGGAACTGCTGGGTGTCTGTAAGCTAGCCCTGGCTGTTGGGAGTCCTTAATTTCTCCCACGTGCACTTTTATGGGCCATTTGGGTGTCTTCACAGTATGATAGCTGGCTTCCCCAGGTGGTCTAAGAAAGCACAAGGTAGCAGCTCCAGTATATTTTATAACCTAACCCAGGGATGATAAACCTTTCAGAGCTTTCCATGATAGCAAACTACCCACTGCAGCACATGTGCCATAGGTCTGCCACCACTGCCTTAGCCTAGGAATCTGTAATTTCTGCCATATCTTGTTGGTTATATACAAATCAGTCTTGCTGAGTGTGGGAGGGAATCATAGAAGGGTATTGGATCTGTCAGGTTTCTGTTACGGTAATGAATGCAACATGAGATAATGAGATTATAAAGAGAATAGTTTTATTTTGCTTTATAGTTTTAGAAGTTTTGGCCAAGGTTAGTTAGACCCTTTGCTTGTGAATCAATGACCACATATGACAGCAAAGAGCAAAGCTGTTCATCTTATGACTGGAATGCCAAAGAGAGAAGAGAATAGGGTTCCTATACTCCCAATAACTTAAGAACCCAGTGGCATCAAGCTTGAGATCAAGGCTACAACACAGACTTGTGGGGTCGTTTTAGGACCCAAACAATGGCAGGCATGAATATTAATAGGCAAAGATTACTTGAAGCTGTCTCAGGTCTGCTACTGTTTCCTCTAGGCCCTTCAGAACTTCCACTTCCCTTTAGTAGAAAATATTCCTAGTGTTGGTTCAAATAAAGAAGCAAAGGTCCTGTTACAATCGATAAGTTCCACCAGTCTTAAATATGGCTATTAAACAGTGTCTTGGTTACTTTTCTCTGTTGCTGAGACAAAATACCCAATGCCCAACATGAAGCAAGGAAAGGTTTATTTAGCTTACAGATTTTTAGAGGCTTTCATCCACACTCAAGTAGCTACAACGAAGGATGGCTTGGCTAAGGGACAGTCATTCATGGTGGCTGCAAGCGGCAAGAGTGAAAGAGCAAAAGAGAGAAAAAACATCCTTCTTTCCTCCCTTATAGTGTATGCGGGCTCCACCCCTGGGCGGGTGCAGCACTCACACAGCCAGCACTAAACAATGAACCAATCACAAATGCTAGATTCAACCACTTCCATGACTACATGAGGCATGGGCAGCCATCTAGGCACAAACCATAACAAGCAGTATCAATATTATATATTGGGGCTGGGGATTTAGCTCAGAGGCATAAGCTCCTGGCTTGCAAGTGTGTAGTCGTGAGTTCGATCCCCGGTACCGATAAAAAAGAAAAAGACAAAAAAAATATTATATATCATTCTGTTAGAAGAACTGTTCCTTTTAGAGCATTTAATCTGACATTTATTGAGAAACAAGATTATACTCCAGAAAAGTCAAGGTTAGGGTCCACATTTGATCACACTTTCCAACTGGGATTTTCTTCTACTGTGATGAAACTGTGATGTGTGCTGTCAGTTTCCTTTTCTCCCCTAGAGTCTGCCTTGAAGAAAGCTAAACAAACAGATCAAAACCGAACCTCCTTTTACAAAGTTTACCATTTATGGGTTGCCATCCTGGAGTGCAAGCCATGTTCTTTATTAGCCGCTGCTTTGAAATCCATAGCTGCTGATTGCCTGGCAGGAAGCCCTGTGTGCTGGCAAAACCAACTCCAGTGCTTTGGAAGCTCACTGGGAGCTGAGGGAATGAGAGCAGCAGCATCATAGAAGCACTGTCTTAGGCAAGCCTAACTTCTAATGACCTAAAGATGCTATCAGTGATGGTCCCACTTCTCCTTCCACATCTCCCATGAGATATAACCACATCTTCGATGGTCAATTTTCATTATCTAGTGGAGCCATGTTTCATCTGTGCATATCATTTGCCCAACTATGGAATTCTTTCAAGTATTCAAAAGCTGTTCTCATGGGGATCTCCTTAGTCTTTTCCAGGCTAATCATGCCATGTTTGCTCAGCCTTCCCATCGTAGAACAATCTCCAAATCCTTTACTGTCTTCCTTTCAACGTCTGTCTGAAAATGTGGTATCTATTCGTTTTGTGTGACAAGTATTCTCTCAATGCTTTTGGCAGACACTGGTGCAGATGTCTGAAAGGATACAGTCAAGTGAACCAGTTCCTTTTGATTGCTTTGGACATTACGTTTCTACTGATATAACCAAAGATTACATTTGCCTCTTTTGCAGCCATGTCAGGCTGTTGGATTATTTTGACTGTGAGCAACTAAAATTCTCAGTTTTCATCAAAAGGAACTGTTATCACTTCAAGACTTTCCAATTCTACTTGGCACGTAGTTGATTTTTTGAACCTCAATGAAAGAGTTCACATTTTTCCTATCCAGTGCCTTCTTATTGGTCCAGATCGTTGTTCCAGCCCATTAAAGTCATTTTGATATTTGCTGATGATTAAATCTTGATTCTGTCACACTAGTTATTTCTCCCAGCTTTGCATCATCTCTAGTTTTGATCAGCGTTCCTGCTATCTTTGTATCTAGCCGCTTGCAATGATGAGGAGTTGCTGAGGACCAGCACCAGCATCCTCTGGCAGGCCCCTGGGTCCTGCCTTCCCCCGTCCCGTCAGCACTCTTAGAGAACAGGTTTCCAGCCAACTCTGAGTACTCCAAATTATACTGTCATCTGGTCTGCATTTCTCCATCTTGTCCACAAGAATTTCCTGAGAGACTTTGCTAAATGCCTCGATTAATCAGTACATGCTGGGTGTCTGACATTTGCAGTTGTCCACCACAGTGACCTGCTCCTGGCTGCAGAGGAGGAGAGGGAGTGGAGTGGGCTGAGCACTGTTGTGTCTTCTTCTTGAGGTCCCTTGTGACTTCAGTCCTGGCTCGGCGTAGGGGAGGCCCAGACCTTGGCCACCACTTTCTGTGGCCCTGTAGACCTAGAGAGCACCTCCTGCTTCCTGGTAAGACTCCGGTCTCTTAACTCTTAATCATCTGCTCTTTTGTGCTACACTGGCTTTGTTCACTTTTGCTGTTTAACTTCCTTCTCCACATGCTCCAGTATATACTGAAGCTTGTGGATGTTTGAAATTCAAGTCACCAAATCTTCAATGACCTAATGTAAATGTCTGTGTTAGATGCACCTGTCCCATGCCAGCGCTTGCTTTCTTTCGTTTTTATCGGTACCGGGGATCGAACTCACGACTGTCTGCTTTGCAAGGCAGGCGCTTTTGCCGCTGAGCTCAATCCCCAGCCCCCATGCCAGTGCTTTCTGATGTACCCCTCATGGTGTCCCTGAGTCCCCAAACATGAATCTATAACAAGCCATCCTGGTTGGCTCTGTTTGCAAGGCCTCCAGTCTCAGGTCTGTCCCACCATTCCAGTTGTCCAGCCACATACACAAGGACCTCTTGATTTTGCCATTTGCCTTGGCCCATTGTTCTGATTGTGCTTTTCGTCTCGGTTTGGACAGTCTTCCCTGGGTCAGCTCTTGTTTCTCTACTTCTACCAGTATGGTCACTGTCAGCCGAATGCACGTGAACTCCCTCCACCCCTAATTCTCCAGAAAGATGGGGCAAGCAGTGGTGGTTGAATGGCTGAAAGACCAGGTTCCAGTGCCGAAGTTCCAGCTCTGTTACTGCCTGATAGTTTAAAGAAGGTATGCCCTACTCCACCCTGTATTGTAATAACAAATGCCAACCCTCAGTTTTGGTGATACCAAGGGTCAAACTAAAAGGTTGCTATATGACCTGCCATCTCTGTCTTGGTTTGCAATAATGAGAAGCAAACCCCATCACTTTGCCCTAATACTTTTAGGGATTTGGTGCTTTTTTCCTGAGTTGTCTCCTCATAGAGATTCATCATCCCACCTGGAAATTTTTCCCTCTAAAGTTTAAGCTTTACCACTGCAGATCAGAAATTCTTCTGCTGTAATTGTCCCAGTTTGGGGAAATTCACAGTTTCCACCCAAGAATTTGAAGACTCTTTATTCATAAGTCCAGGTAGAATAATTACATAACCAGGTAGAAATTTCCCATTTAGTCCAGGGTCTTCTAAAACTGTGGACTTCAATTGGCATGAAATGAAAATATTACCCTTTCCCTCAAACCTCAATTCCCTACTTAAAAAGCAAATATGTGCACTTTATATCACTTATAGTCCTTAATAATACGCTAAAGTACACACTCAGAACTTTCCAAATGTAGTAAAATTTGTACTTGGGTGAGACCCTTACCTGAGTCATTTTCCTCTTAGGGAGTGACTTGAAATAGAAGTCAAACTCCCTTTTAAAGAGAATTAATAAAGACAAAGCAACAACAAAAATGATACAAGATTTTAAAACAATATGATAGAAAAATTAATGGTTATTACATTGCATATTGTTATTTTCAAGATTATTTTTGCTAGCTTTTAATCGTAGCTCTTAGCATGTAAGCACCGAAATGCTTAAGCAAACCCACCTGTTTCTCCTCATTTTCACAAGTACTAATCTCCCCTTGCGTGTGGCTTTGAAGCAAATGAGGTTTTTATTAATTGAAGCAAAGCCTCCCACAGGAGCCTCAGCGTGGCCAACTCAGTCATTACATAACAGGAATCAGCAAATGAGCCCCCTCAAATCAGCAGAGCCCCCCTCAAATCCTACTGCATCTTGGCAGTGACTCCCCAGTTTGACACTTATACCACAGTTAATTAGGGTGATTGTGAGGGGTAGACAGGGCCAGAGAAAAGGCAAGATTGAAAAGCTGCTCCTGTTACCTTTGGGGGTGCTTCCAGTCTTTCCCACATTAAAAAGCTAAATGGTAGATTTATGTCTTATTTTCTTCCTGCTTTCCATGCTTGGCTTCTTATTTAATGAGCCTTAAAAGAAGGAGGACTCAGTATTTAAAATGTGTATAACATGCATTTAAATTCAGGGTTTGTATTTGCCAGACTTTTTCATCTCTGGTACCCAAGTTACCTGTGTTGAAGTCAACATTCACAAGTGGCTTTTGTTGGTCTTCACCTCCGATCACGAAGCCCTCAGTTGAGCCCAAACTTGCCGTGTCACTTTTTTCTCTGCACTGTGCGCATTATCAGCTGGACAGAGGAGCGAACCAAAAAGAAAGCTTGGGTCACTTTATTAGTTTTGAAATAGTGGTAAATAAGAGAATTACAGTGATCCTTGACCATCCCAAGGTGGGGGGGCGCAAGGGGTCTGGGGCAGGGCCAAGGGGAAGTGGTACAGGAAAAAGGGTCTCTCTACTCCCCCTGCAGAATGCCACTGGCCATTTCTTCCTCCTCCCTCTTCCTTTCCTCCACTTAGATGTGGGAAATGGAAAGAGACAGAGGCTAGGGGAGAAGAAGCTGGCACTAGAAACAGTTGGACCCTGAGATGTGGTGACCACTCAGGTGCTCCCCACCCCAACCCCCAGCTCCAGGATCTGTGGAAGGGCCACGCAGCCCGAAGAGCCCACTTCCTCTGCCCGTGCTGAAGCCAGTGCTCCAGTGCCAACCTCTGGTCTTTGTCCTCCCTCACCTCCCAAGCATCTGTCCTCCTCCTGGCTCTGTCCAATCCCTGGTTGAAACCATCATTACTTTTACTTAGGTCACCGTGGTGGCCCTCCCTGCTTCCAGCTGGCAGCTTTCTGTCTTGCTCTCTGGGCCATTGCTAGGGCTGTAGTTTTGGAGGCAATACAGATCTCCAACACCTGGAGAGACTCTTTGCTCAGTCCCCTCAGGTGAAATCTCTCTCCCTCAGCCAGTCCAAGGCCTTTACTTACTTTCCAGTCCTCCCTCTGTGCCTTATCCAGCCTCTATACAGCAACACTGGACTAGACATGAGCTCACTCACCTCTGGGCCTCAGGCCTTTCCTGTGTTTCCAGCTCAGAGGTTGCATCTGCAAGGGAATCTTCATTATTGGGACCTTTATCTGGATCCCCTCTGAGACACTGCCCTCACCTTTGAAACCTGGACCCCAAAAGAGGCCATTTTCCTTTTTTTAGGAAGTCTTAGTAAACTCAGGTAGAATGGCATAGAAGCATCTGGTTGCCAGGGCTTTCCTGGACTTGGTTTTCTGCCTTTCTACATCTACACCCTCCTGCTACCTCCGTACTCTCATCCGTAGGGCCCACAATCCAGGTCCCATAAAAATCCACATAGCATGAATTGCTTTTCATTAACCGATTACCAATACTGAAGTTCAAGGTAATTATAAGATATAGATTTTTCCTCAGCCATCCTTGGATCATGGCTGAGATCTCTGTAACAGACCACAGATGGAAAAGGGAAAAGAGTTGGTTTTATGTGACACTACAACCACCCTAAAGAAATGAGTACAGGCCTGAAGCAGAGTGGGCAGGTATAGAAAAACATGATAGGGTCTGATCAACTGGTAGGGAACTGGGGAGACTTTTAGGGCCCTGTTCAGACTGTTGCCCATAAACCCACATCTTCCGAGATAAAGGTACTCCTTTCTTCCCAGACGAGGGAGGGAACCTCCCACAGGGGAGTCTGATGACCTGCTTCAAGGGAAGGTCGAAAAATCCTTTCTTGATGTTAGGGCTCAGGGAAAAAAGGGTGGGGTGTCAGAGAGACCTCCCTGTACCTGCCATCTCTCCGATTCCTGCAGTGTCACAGTGCCATTTTTTGGAAAAGCATGTCCCATCAGAGGTGACTTTAACTAGTGATTGGCTGTAGGTCCTTTTGCTGGATCAGGCCTCATTCCCCTCCCTTTTTCCTATTTCCAGATAGTATTAGCCAACAAGAAAGGAATGCTGTTCCCTTTAAGATAGTGCTAACATTTCACATGATATTTCTGCCACTTTTCTGTTTGCCAACATTTAGTCACATGGCCACATTGAGTTATAAAGTAGGCTGGGGAAAGAAGTGTTTACTCGGTGCAAGTATGTACCTCGCAAAAACCTGAGAGTCCTATTACTGTGGAAAAAAGGGAAGATAAATATTGGGGGGCGGCCAGCAAACTGTCGCTCCCCTGCCAGTGAAATGCCATCCCTTTTCTTACCCTGCCTCATCTGACATGTGAGCAGGCCCCCTCCTGGCTTCACATTACCTAAGAACTTGTTGGAATAGAATTCTCACACACCTGCAGCTCACTTGTAAAGACGATTCTGCAATAGTAATAATAATAATAATGTTCTCCATCTTCTGAGCCATACTAACTTCTCCATGATCTGCATCACCCATGTCCCAGGGGGCTGTCCCGCTGGGCATCCCAGAATTTCACAGGTAGGACGGTCTCCACACCTGCCTCACAGATACAGTGCCGAGGTCACAGTCCAGGTGTACTGATTCTCACAATGTGACTGTGTGGGTTCAGAAACCCACAGTTTAAGGTTCACAGGGAGAGGGCAATGTGATAAAGTCCACGGTAGAACCAAGTCCCTCACCCCCATGATCGCATGGACACACTCTGGTGGTTGCTTTCAAGGCCAAGAAGCTGCCGGCTGATGTCTTCCAGTCTTCCGATCGCTGCTTTCCAGCGAGGTGAGACCCAGGTGTTATTTATCTGCTCAAGAGCACCCACATGAATACATTTAGCCGGATATGTGTTCCACTTATGCTCAACACATCTGCGTCAAATATATCTTTGGAAGACTGCCCTTTGATGGGGGAGAAGGGCGGAAATCCCGAGTCTGGTTATCTCCCTCCCTTCATCTCCCTGTCATTGGTCTTGTTCACTGACAGACCCTTCCTTCCTGTCTCAGCTGGTACCTGGCATGTGGCAGGGTTGCCATCAGTGTGTGTTCCACTAACAGACATTGTGTGCTAAATGACGCTGTATGCTAACCTATACAGAGATGATTGAGAATCAGGTGAAGGAAGGACTCAGCCAGTTTTATATTTGTAGCTGTGTGTACAGTGTCATTGTATACACAGCACCGAGGATCTAGAGCTGCCTGAGGTGGAATCTCACATACAAATAGACTCACCAGTGCACAGAGGTTAAGCCAGAGGCATTAGAGGCAGAGAAACCTATTTGTGTAGAGGCATGAAATAACCTCACATGTTCAAACAGTGCCAGAGTTTCCCTTCCTTTTAAAATTAAAAAAAAATGTTTTATTTTCTAAAAGTGACTCATAGGGACTGGGGATTTAGCTCAGCGGCATAAGCGCCTGCCTTGTAAGCAGGCAGTCGTGAGTTCGATCCCTGGTACCGATAAAAATGAAAAAAGACCAAAAAAAAAATAATAATAAATAAAAGTGACTCATAATTACTACTAATTTATCAAAGTCAGAGCTTTGATTTAGAAGAATGATTTACAACCAAAGGTTACGGAATGAAAATCTGGTAGTTGGTTGGAGTTCAGCCGACTCCAGCCAGGGTAAGGAGGAAAACTGAAAATGTTTGTTTCTTTCTTAGCAGTCAGCACCTTGGAGCCATGTCAGTGTGTCACTTCGGTGATGGCATATAAAGGGCTTTTAAAGTCCAAGGGGAGCTGCCATCCAGAGAGTGTGTGGAAGGCCCATGGTATGAGTGATAAAAAGAATTGTCCAACAGTCAAGGAAGCTGGAGAAGACAAGAGTTGATTCAGAGGAGGGCACACCACCAAGCAGGAGAGCAAGCGGGTTTCCAACGAGGAAGGCCAGAGTGATAGCACAGGGAGTTTCTTGGTTTTTGTTTTGTTCTTGGTACCAGGGATCAAAGTCACAACCGCACGCTTGTGAGGCAGGCGCTTATGCTGCTGAGCTAAATCCCCAGCTCCTGGTCAGGGAGTTTTAAGAGGCTGAGACATGGAAAAGCATCTCCACAGATCTCAGCATCTTTTTTTTTTTTTTTTTTTTTGTCTTTTTCCTTTTTATCGGTACCAGGGATCGAACTCACGACTGCCTGCTTGCAAGGCAGGCACTTATGCCGCTGAGCTAAATCCCCAGCCCCAGATCTCAGCATCTTAGGGATGCCTGCTTTCTGATGACCACTGAGCAATACCTTTCGTGCTTTTAAGGTTGTGCACTAAAGTTACAAACCACTAAAGCCTCTTGCGTAGACCTCATAACAGACCTGTAAGATTCTGATAAGATCTTGAAGAAAGATGTGGCATTAACTCAGTGGAAGAAAGAATGGTTTTGGTGTTTATTTTTATCTTGCCCTGTTCCTAGTCAATGTCAGTGTGGAGCCTCATGACTGCCCGGTATGTTGCTGGGGAGAGATGCGTCATCAGAGGAATTTGGATGCTGAGAATTTTAACCTTTTCAGCCCACAGTGATCATAGCTAGAAAAACAACTGGTAACTGATACATAGAAGCAAGTGGTACTAGTCTAGGCATTTTACCTGTATTTACTTATTTATTTTTCCTAATGACCTCATGAGGAAGTATTAGTATTATCTTGTTTCATAGCTGAGAAAGATCATGAAGTTATAAGTGGCTAAATTGGAACTTAATTAAACTCATACATAGAGTGCAGAAGTTTTACAGTATATTTAAAGTTGCTGTGCTAGTTCTTAGTGTTTGTGTGGCTTTGTTTTTTGAGCTTTTCTACATAGCCACGGTAGAAACCAAAGAACCTGCTGGTTGTCAGACACCTCCTCAGCCTTGTCAGCCTATGTATTCATGCACCTTCTTGTGTGTAAGCCAGGGACTTTGCTGCTCTCCTCTTGCCCTGTCCCTAGCTACTCCTAATGTGGCCTGTCCCTGCCCCCACCCCTAGACATGAGCGCACCCTGCACAGTAAGATTCAGAAGTTACCAGTAGGGCAAGCAGGTTGACGTGTCCAGAAATCACATCTGGGGAGACAGGAATGTCCTTGTCCATGCAGGGGACACTGAGATGGTAAATGTGTTTCATTCAGTCTGTTTCATCTCTGGGAACAGAACTTGTTACTCTTACCTCCCTCCTCCACCACCTCTTACTCTCCTATGCCAGCCCCATAATGTCATGTGTAATCATCAGAGGGCAGTTTGGAATCCCAGAGGACAGTCCTCTGGGACCTTCCAGCCATCACCCCTTGTTCCCTCTTTTTGCCTGACTCTTATTCCCTCTCTGCTACCTCAGTCAGATTTTGCTTTTTGTGATATGAAAGAAGTAAAATCTACTGATCAGGAACAAGAATTTCTCTGCCTGGATGAGCTTCCAACCCT